TTTTTTTTGGTGGCTAAAATCCAGGTAGTGAGCCCTGTGGCACTTTCCTGTGCTGGAACAGGTTTGAGTCCACTGCTTGCAAGTTGGAGTATGCTCCTTAGTAGGATAAGGAGATGCAGACTTTTAACTGAGCGGTTAGGTGTGCAGTCTGAATGGTACAAGAATTACTGCAGGCTCTGCTAACTGGCCATTATAGATTTATATTTCATAAATGAAGTTTGATCTTACTTGATATGTTTCATCTTAACTAATATTTGAGCTTTTGCTATTTAGAGTTTTCTTGCAAAGGTCTTTAGTGGCATATATTACATTGACAATTACTTGTTCTGGAAACTCATGCTTCCTTACAAATTTTAATTGTAAAGGTGACAGAGTCCTTCAGATTATTCTCTGGCAGAAGAGTCACTGCTGTTTGGTAATGCCAATTGCACTGCTGTATTGTACTTCAAAAAACCTTATTTTAGCATGGTCACAAAATAAACTTTTTTTTTTTACAGTGTGTTTATCCTGCAGCTTAAATGCTGAGACAGCACCTTGGCTTATTTCCCAAAAGCCTGTTCAGAAACCAGCAGCAGCCTTATCCTCTTTTCTTTAACATCATTTGCTTTGCAAGTGATGCAGCTTGTTCTGCAGAGTGGATATCTGCACTGAAACACTCCCTTGCAGTCTGCACTAGGGAGAAGTGGAGCTGCATGTTCAACAGAAATCAATGTTGCAGCAAGGTTATAGCGTATAGAAATGAAAGTATTTCATCAGGCAAAGTAGAGAGGTTCAAAAGCTACTTTCAGCTACTGAATTTATGCCTCTATCTTTCCTTCTAGAAAGATGTGGATACTTTGCCCCATCTCCAACGTCTCTTCCTCAGCTTCAACAATATATCTAGGTAAGGGAAATAGCAGTTTGCTTCCTATCAGTAATTTGAAGTATCCTATTGGAGCTGTATTTTGTTAAAATTTAAATTAAAAGACTATGAGTGCAGATATTTTTTCCCCCCCTAACTTATCAGATGGTATAATCAAGCCATTGTGTATTTTCTACTTTAAACATAAAAATTCTTGAAACCCTTTGCATTTAAATGTAGTTGTACTATGAGTATTCTACCAAGAAACTTACATTTTTAGTTTAAAAATTATTGTACTGTTTACTATGATGATCAAAATTTTAAAATAGTTTTGTAAATATCTTGTTTTACTGTTAAACTAGATACCTGTTAAAGCAACATTACACAAGGCACATATTATATTTAACATACCATCACTCTATTTATGGAGTTACACGAACTGCTGAGTCAGGTTCTGCTTATGATGATTAGATTATTTCATGCTTGCATTTTACTTGTCCATATATTAATAAAGTCTGAAAGGTATATTCATGGTTATTTCTCTTTCAAACCATATGGCAGAAGCAGAATAGCTCAACTTTCAAAGCAGGGCTTCTATAGTTTCAAGTAAATAAGTGCATTTTGTTATAAATAGATAGAAATGTTTGTCTTCTATGCTTTTTCATATTTGTGCATTTTTAGAGTCTGCACTTATACTAGTGCCAATATGTAAAAAAAAAAAGTGCCTGTGTTATCTTCAGTTTGGTATGTCCTTTTTTTTTTTAATCCCTTAATCATCACCAGTGTCCTTTGCTTAGAATCAAATAATTTAACGTGGCATAGGGGAAAGATGCTTCATGTTCTAATTACAGGAAATGCTGTGCTGTTCTTGTGGCATCTGCTTTCTCTGTAAAATGTTGTACTAAGTATAAGCTTTTATTGTAATAGCTGCTTGAACATTTTAATTTGACCTGCATTATGTATTTTGCAGACAGCTCCAACCTGCTTGTCTGTGTTCCTTAGGGTCTTAAAGTACCAATGCAGTAGATCTCTGTAAATACTCATGGGTATTAAGCATTTTAAAAAAAATGAGATATGAACTGCAGGAAACTTTAATATGCCCTTTCCTTAATTAATCTGCTAGAGAGGGGCTTAGCATTTTGCCTTTCTTGAATAATTTCCAGAATTGAAACATGTCTTTTGTTTCTGTTTTTCTAAAAAATGTCTTGGCTTGGCAAGAACAATGAGGGGACTGCAGTAGCTGGCTCCCTTGCCATCAGGGAGCATCACTGCAGTCAGTGTAATTTCTGTATCTTTTTATATACTTGGTATATTTTGTGTAGCTTTCTGATTCCTTTCTCATGTTGTTTTATGCAAATTCATGTTATTTTTACAGTGTTCAAACAAGGAAAAATGTTTCCGTTTTTCTGTGAGGTTGTTAAAGTAGATTTCTCAAACTATGTAATCAGTAGTTTGCTTCTTGGTACTTTATCATGATTGTTGTCATTTATTCATTGGGACTTCAGTTGAACTATTGATAGATCTAGTCTTAGTTTTCATGTAAGCTATAAATACTTATGTAGAACATTCATGCAAATATATAATTTGGTTTCAATTTGTAGTTGGAATAAGTATAAAAATAAAATTGTAATGTCTAATGAAAGATATTGCTCTTCTATAAATTCTGTATACATATGTGGGTAGGTAGGTGGATGGATCAGTTTAACTCTTTGTTTACCAGATATTGTTTTAAAACAAGCAAATGAAAAACTTCTTTTGATGATCACATTTACCTTGGGTTTTTGCAGTAATAACCCTTTATTGTATACGGTAGTTTTGAAGGCTAAAAACCCCCATTAATTCCTGATCTTGAATTATGTAGTAGATATGTCTTCTAACAGGAAAATGATCAAATATGAAAGTATACTCTTGATACTTGGCTTGATACTCTTTGTACTAACTGAAGTTATATGCAACCATAATACTAGTGAATTGCTGTGCTACATCTGAACATTCCTACAACCGTTTTAAATTATTTTGTGTGTTTTTGAGTCACTTACTTGGGTTGACTGTGTGCTATATGGTAATTTTAAAAAATATTTTTCTTGGAAACAGCTGTGTCTATACAACTGACTTTTCTTTTAGGCAATCAAATTGATGCACAGATATTCTAATTCATTTATCCGTAGGTCCATAGAGAAAACTGCAAATGGAAACAAACAATGAAGTATATTGCCAAAACCTGGATTTATTTATGTTACAGTTCATTAAAATATTCTATTAAAATATTATTTTAATAGAAGTAGCATTTCTGAGGCAGTGCTCCCATGGAAAGTTTTGCCACTTCCTATTTTTGTATGTCAGCAAAAATCCTTGAGTCTGAAATTGATACATACTGACATATATGAATTAATATTTCAGTAAAAGTTTGGGAATGCCTTTTAAAAATTGTCACTATTTAAGGGATGAGAATCTGTCATAGGTTTAATCACTGACGTTCTTTTTCCCTCAAGCTTCAGAGGAGGCCTCAGAATGCTGCTGCTTCTCTGCAGAGCTTTTAGTAAAAAAGGATGTATTGGCAAGATAATGTAAGCTAAAATCGAACACTGTAGAAGTTGATGCTGATCTGAAACAAAAGTCCTACTTCTGGCTTCAGCCCCCCAAAATTTAAGTTACAAACTGAAGGCATTCACGCCTGATGGCTGAAGGTAATATCTATCTATCTATCTATCTAGAGCTAGTTATAAAGAAGGGGGAGAAATCCCATTTTTAATTTGTCATGTGGTACTGGGAAGAGATTACAGAAACTCTTTCCTCAGGAAAGATATGCCACTGAGATTGAGAGGTAGGGTTACTGCTCATATTTCACAATGTGAAACCAGGGAAGACCATTTTTTAATCTTGGAAGCAAAATACATATTTTCACTGTTACACTGCTGTCCAGGTCAGCACTGTGTTGTGCTTTTTCATTTAGTAAGGCATGTTGTCTAGCCATACGGAGAAAGTTGGATACAAGCTCCAAGGACGTGTAACTGTTTTTCTTCGTTTGGTTGCTGGATTGAAAACCTGAGAGAAGGACTGTTCTTAGCCTAATAAAAACAAGAAAATACCTTTTTTTCGTAGCAGAATGAAAATGTATAAATACATTTTTAAATCCTTGAACAAAAGCAGTACAAGGGGAATGAAAGGTTGACTGTGGTAACATCTGTTTTCAACAGTAATGTAGTGGTTAGAAACCTGGGAAAACCCAAGTCGTCGTCTTTGGCTGCATGTTTTCTGAATATGCAGTTCCCTCTCGGGTGTTCTATCAAACTGTAGTGAGTATGTTGCCTTCCTTATCTTCTCCAGAGCTTTTCCGCTTTATGGAACATGCTTTAAAAAAGTCATTGATACAATGTCTTTTGATGTCATTGATGCCTTCCTAAGCAAGTAGGCTGTAACAGAGGATAAATGTTCTTGTGTCCTATTCCTGCCTACTAAATGTGTAAACGTGAATGTGTATCGCTGGCGGAGGTTGAGCTTACAGCATTCCAGAATACTCTGCTGCTTAGTAGTTGCCATGTTCTTGTGTGAGGCAGGAGGCGGGGGTTTGCATCCCCTCTGGTAGAGGGGAGAATTGGATGCAGGAATCTGAGCATGCACACAAGATTTAAAACTGATCTATTCTGAAAAGATTTCCAGAAAACATTGTTCTGTGTTGCTGAAGCTACCATTTTAGCAAAGATAAGTTCATCTAGGAAGAAGGAAGGACAGGGAAGGAGAGGTGTTTGCCATAGTTTGCTGGGACTTCTGCAGGAGAAGGTCTTTTGGAAAGAGAAGCAGACATTCCATTCAAGAAGATTGCCTGAGGCAGTCTGAAACAGCATCATCCACAGCTGCTTTATATTTCATGAGCAGGTTAAAGACTCCTTTGTGGTGAACAGAGGCTAGAGAGCATTGAGTTGGGGCCTCTGATTCCTGTAGGGTGGTCACCACTTGGCTCTGTCACAGCAGTCTGCGTGCTGGGAAGCAGACAGAGGCTTGCTTGTAAAGTATGCAGTCTGTTTGGTAAGAGTATTACATTAAAGCTTTGCTTGGCTTAGGATTGGGATACCAGTGTGACAAGTACAGTACATTAAGTTTTCTACACTGAATTTCTAAAGCTCTGGTTTTAATACATGTATACAAAGATGTGAAAACATAGCTATTTTGCCTACTGTTTTGCTCTAAAATCGAGCTGCTAATAGGGCAGCTACAAGCAGGATAAAGCAAGCACATCTGTTTTAGTTCCAGAATGAATGTTCTGGTATGCTGAAGCACTGAGAATTTCAAAGCACAGCAGTATGTGTAAGTGGAAGGTCTTGAAAACACTAGCAAACTTTCAACTTTTCTGTCATTTCCTGAAGAGATTGGTTTTATTAAAAATCTGTAAATCATATGTAATGGCAGAAGTACTGTTTGGTTAAATGTTTAGTGGGAAGTGCTTCAAGTAAATATATTTCATGCTTTTAATGAATATATTTACAGTATTTGAAACTAAGTTTGAAGACCAGAAAATTTTCATATTTGTCAAGCAAAATCTATTCTAGCCCAATGGAATTTCAGTTATGTTTTCTTATTCTAACATGTTTACAAGTTTGCTTTACTAACTTCTGTGTCATTTGGGAAGATTATCTTTTATCTTCAGGACATATTCAGTATGTATTTTAAGTAATATGTCAGCCTGATCTTCCAAAAATGTGGTTACGCAGGCCGTATTATGGAAGGGAAACAGGATCACAAAAAGAAGCAGAAAATGATAATCAAACTTGTCATCTTAACCACGTGTACAGAACACCCAATTCTTCAGATATGCTAAGCACCTTCACTGCCTTCATTGGAATCTGTATCTAGTTGATTTTCTCCATCAGTTCTTATGTTGTTTTAATACACTAAGCAGAAAGGTAGTAGTATCTTCCACTTCACTCTGTCATTCTGCTGCATCTGTTGGGTATATCATGTAGAAGTTACTTGCATGCTGTATTAATTGCACTGGGTTTTTTGAGATTTGTATTGGGTGATTTCTTTCTTTACTCCTACTAGCTTATGTTGGTATCCAGGCCTTTATTCTGCTGGTTGAGACTGTTTGCTATTTGGTGATACTATCTTTATATTTTATCTGTATGTATTGTTGTTGCAGAAATTGTTTTACCTAATACCTAGAATCTTTCAGGGATATCTGATTTTAAAATCTGACATCCTGGTAGATCAGAAGCCCTTTGCAGCTGAATGTTAGTCCTCAGCAGATTATTGTATGCGTTCTTGAAAGTTGAGCGATACCAGTGATAAAGGTAGTTGCCAGTTTATTAAATGACAATCTTAAATATGAACATCTGTACTGCATGTGATTTCTGATCCCTAAGTTCAGGGCCTACTTAGGGTTTGGTATCCTTCCAAGTATTAGTGGAGGAAGACGTTTCCTGCCACCAAGACTGAGAACAACTATAATCAGTTGATACAATCAGCAAGATTTTCAGAATATTAAACAAAGGCAGTAATTCCATTTTATCCACTTCAGAAATGGTCTCTTATTTCAGAATGTCATTAAGTATTTGTTTATCTAGTAAAGTGATTATATTTTTGTGATCAATGATTTTTTTTTAATTTTCAGATTTTTTTTAACTTCATTCTCAAAAGTAACAAGTCCATTTATTTCATACTTTCCACTTGAACTTACTTCATAACACAGGCTCAACTTTTGGAGGCCAAAGTACATGAAGATGGGTGAATGGTTGCACATTTATACAGTTTAATCAATTCCTTAAAAGGGGAGTCATATTTACTTTATAACTGTTCAGCTTTTTTGAAATGAAGTTAAACAGTTCTCTGTTTAAAATACTATTTATCTGAGTCAGCTGCTTTCTTTTCACATTCCATCTTCAATGAAAGGAACATGATACAGGCTGTGCATGTCTAGATACGTTTTACACAGGCCAGTTATTTTTGTCAGGAAACCGAATCAGATGTTGTCTAAAAAGCCAACTTTTTAGTGTTTGTAGACTGAACTCAGAACAACAGACACATCTGTTTTGAAGAAAATATGATGCTTTTGTAATTGTTTTTCTTCCAATATTTAATGATGTCGCAAACACCCAGGATCATTCTGTGGTATTTGTGGTTGGCTTTTTTCTTGTATTTTTCCATGGTTTTCATGCTGGCTTTGATGGCAAATACACCTTGTATTATTTTTTTTTGAATATGAGTTGGTATGTATCCTATTTTAAGGGGTTTTTAGGTGAAACTATATTCCCATAGTTACAAGTTCTCCTTATTCTGCATCTCTTGTTTTTACCTGTATGTGAAGAGATTAAAAAAATTTAACAGCAGGAGCTGTTGGTATTTCGAAATACTTCTAATTTGATTTATCATACACAATATCGATGGGTGGTTTTTTTCCAGTACAGGTAAATATTAATGTTCTATCCTTAAGAAATAAAATCTTCCATCTCAAAATTATTCCTACTCTATGACATTAAAACTTTAAACTTTTTTGGTTACAGTTTTGAGGATATTCTGTGCCTTGCTGATTCCTCATCTTTGTCAGATATCACCCTTGATGGCAATCCGATAGCTCAGGAGACATGGTACAAACACACTGTTCTCCATCATATGATGCAGCTCCGACAGCTAGATATGAAGAGAATCACAGTAAGAAATTTCTGTTTTCGTCAAACTTACTAGGTACTTAAATTCAGAAGTAAAATGCAGGGGTTTCTGTGTATATATGTATATTAAGAATACCACCATTTTTTCTTAATTTAGTATGGAATTGAATGGTATTATAGACATTACAATATTTAAAACTAACCTTTTTTCTTTTGTTCAGTATTATATAAGGGTGTGCTTTTTTACTTCATTTTAACATGTTTATTTTTAAATGCTTAAAACTCTTCATTAGTAAGTACGGTGTGATCAATTGCCATGTGACATGAGAGAACCTGCAAAGCTTTTGGTTAAGGCTTTCTAAACACAGTCTTTGCTGGTTTGCTGTATAGCTGAAAAGGAACAGCACAGTTCTTCCAAAGGAATAGTTTGTTTACCCTAAAACTGGTGCTATTGGTAATTTCTTTCATTTAAAAACCTTGTTGGTTTCTTTAGTCTGCCTCCCTAAGGAAGCCTGGTGATCACACTGTTTCTGGTTTTGTCTGTATTTCTCCCTTCCTTACTGAACCTACTCTCCCCATTCATTTCTGTTTCTGCTGCTCAAGTTCAAGTAACCCTGATAAGGAAGAGAGGACTTGCAGAAAATACACTGTAAGGTAGAGGACGAAGGGCAATCACTGGGGGTATTACCATTAAGTCAACTATTTTATCTCTTAATATAGGAATAGCCATGCTATTTCTGCTGTGTCTACTTAAGTGACATGTAAGTGTAACTTTCTTACAAGAGTAATGCAGCCAAGCAAGATAAGGAATATAATATGCTTTACAAGCAACAGTGTTGCAGTGTTACCTTTTTTGACCAGGTGCTGATACATATACCCTATTTTAAATGCTCATTTGCTTTGTGCAAAGGCTGTACTGCATTAGAAATTGCACCTGTTGTTTTACCATCTATCCTGTTGTCCTGTAGCCAATCCACTGTGAGTACAAAATAGAGCCAATTATGATGTAAAATATAACATGTGTGTGGAAAACATTTTAATCTTAAAAATAAAGTGCTTTGGGACATGAGTTACTTCCAGCATTGAAAATACTAAATACTTGTTTGTTTGCAGGTATTCTATGGGTTGGGTTGTTTTTTTCTTTTGTGAATTTATACTGACTTAATTGAATACTTGCTAATTGCTTTGCTTTTAAAAAGATCGTTTTCTCAGTATTATTTCAGAAACTTGAGTCACATAAAGAAAACACCTCTCCCTTCTCCCTCCCCCAGCCCCTTCTCAAGAGGTGAAGGGATCCTGGTAGAACTCTCAGTGATGGGAAAAACTGTAGGAAGAGCTCAAACTCCTTTTGAGGCTCTATGGGATCCGTATAGGTAAAAAGCTATTAGAAATGCACAGCCATGGGAAAAACTTAATCTGGGTTCACACCTTGTTAAACATCAGAGAATCAACCACAAGACAAAAAGCCATAGAAAACCAGGCTTCACCAGTTGTGCTGCTCATAAATCTACTTGTAAAAAGAATGTGTTTTGCGTTCTTTTTATTTGCCCGCTGGTTTTTAAGCCTTGAACTTTAACATATTCTCCATGTAGAAGGTGCTATATGTTTTCTTCAGTAAAATCTGTGTTACCCAGATAGTCATATGACTTAAACAGGGATTTTAAGAAAAATAACGAGTATCATGAGATTTGTGATAAAATTAGAGAGTTGGCAATGCCAAATCCAGCTATTCTGCCTGGTAATGCAACATGCTGTTGCCATTGGATGTAAGGGTAAATGTAACTTGGTGGGGGGAATTGAAGTACAATGTTGGGTGTGTGCTTTTTCTCGCTCAATTAATATACCTAAACCCTAATTACACTTATAGGATCTTTTCTTCATCAGTCGTGGTTTAACCCCAGCCAGCAACTAAGCACCACGCAGCCGCTCACTCACTCCCCCCCCATCCAGTGGGATGGGGGAGAAAATCAGGAAAAGAAGTAAAACTCCTGGGTTGAGATAAGAACGATTTAATAGAACAGAAAAGAAGAGACTAATAATGATAATGATAACACTAATAAAATGACAACAGTAGTAATAAAAGGATTGAAATGTACAAATGATGCGCAGGCCAATTCCCCCCCCCCCGCCGACCGACCCCCAGCCAGTCCCCGAGCGGTGAAATCCCTCCCCCCCCCACTTCCCAGTTCCTAAACTAGATGGGACGTCCCATGGTATGGAATACACTGTTGGCCAGTTTGGGTCAGGGGCCCTGGCTGGGCATGAGAAGCTGAAAAATCCTTGACTGTAGTCTAAACACTACTGAGCAACAACTGAAAACATCAGTGTTATCAACATTCTTCACACATTGAACTCAAAACATAGCACTGTACCAGCTACTAGGAAGACAGTTAACTACATCCCAGCTGAAACCAGGACAGTATCCAGACCATTTTGAACTTAAGTGTTGCTTTGTCTTGTAAAGAACTGAGAGTTGGACCAGGATGTTGGTTCTTTCTGACTAGGAATTCTTCCCTAACCTGTTTAGCAGCTCTTCTCCTCAAGAACTGAGTTTTACACAATTGTTACATCTTCTTTTAACTTTTCTTTTACTTGCTGGCTTCACTGAGACAAAAAAATTATTTCAAGAAAGAATAAAATCTGAAAGATATTTTCACAAGTTTGTAAGAGACTTTGAAGCTTTATTCATGTTGGTTTTCAAGAAGACGTATGCTCTTTGGTGCTAGGCCTTTTCTGTGGGATTCTCTGGAGAAAGGGAACCTCAGAGCAAAAGTCTGGTGGTAACTGCCTCTGCTTTAGGGAATTATTCAGAAACATATAGCTGCCATGAAAGTCAAATACTCTGCACTTGGGATAAAACTTTTTTTGCATTGTAATTGTTCTAATATTTCTTAATATTAGGGCAGATTGGCCTTTATTCAAGGGATTATATCATGTTATAACAACTTTTAAACCCTGACCCGTGGGGAAGTTGGTATTTTCTTAGGCCATCTCATTCCTAAACCATTTCTGAATGTAAGATTTAAGCTCTGAAACCACTGTGGCATGGACCCAGTGGTGGTGAAATAGTGGAGGTTAGTCACCTGTAATGAGTTTCACTGTACGACTGTAAACACTTATTCATTGTCCACACTAGAAGATGATTTTTCAGCTGAAAAACCCATCTGCTTTGCACTGTGTATCTAAAACATAAACTCAGTGGAAATCTTTTATTTCTCTAACTTTCATAGATCAATCTAGAGGCTTAAAGAGTGGGGAGGGGGCTGAATTACAGTGGCTGGACAGATTACTGTGTGTCTGTCACCTGTATTAACCATCAGTAACTGTAACAGTTATACTTTTACCTCAGAACTAAGGTGGACGAATGTGACTTGATCTATGGCTCAATGAAATATTCCTATGTGAAACTGAAGTGTATTACAGTCAAAGCAGGCTCAGGTTGCGTATGTAGTCAGTTACATTGTTTGGTTAACATAGTAAAATGGTTGTTTTTTTGGGCATTGAAACTTTCTGAATGTGTGTTGTAGTTTGAACTTTTTCAAAAGTGGACCTATCCAGTGGCACTTACAGTTTAGCTGTGACTTATCACTTTTTCCTCCAGTCTTTCGTAGCAGTAAGCAGATACTGTCTGCAGACATGTAATAAAATATTAAAATATGAATGAAATGTGTACATATTCCTTACTGAGAAATTATTTAACCAGGAACACTTGCTATCCATCTCTTTAAATACACTTTCTCAACAGAATTTGCTAAGAGTATATATATTTAAATGTGTGTGTATATATAGTAATAGTTGTTTTTTTTTTTTTAAATGTACTGTGGTTCCCAAATTGAAAGACAAGCTGCATATTTTTAACAGTAGAACTTTTGCTGCTTTTCACTGAGGTTTTATAGGTTTTGGATTCTTAAAGTAAGAGAGTTGTGTTTTTGTTTTGATTATTTGCTTAGATATTATCTCTGCTGATCAGGGAGTAGGTTCTACTACTGTGAAGTATTCTGGGTTTTTTAGGGATGAATCCCTAATTTTTTTTTTTCTTTCCACTTGAAGATAAGATACTTTGGGAACTTCTGGAGTCATTCTTATGGATCATAATCCTCTCTCTTAAATCAGGTCTTGTGAAAATATACTAGATTAATACTAAAAGTAAAAAATGGAGGTATATCTCATTGTCAAATATTACTTAAAGAACAATTCATCAAAAACTTTGTGCTTGCTATTTTGTATGGCTATATTTTTACTAGAAACATCCTTACATTCTTACTTCATTCTTGTGTAAAGTCAGCCTCTTTGGTATACGTAACGAAAAGTAGCCTGCTTTCTGCAAGTATAAGTGAGCTGAATTTTGTGTATTTTAAGCATACTGTGTTGAGTCTCTTATGACTTGAAAGCTTAAATGTATATTCCAGGCCATTCTTTGTATTCTTCTTTTTTTTTTTTTCGTTACCTGAAGTAGTTTATATCAAGTATACTATAGCTGTTTCTAATCTATAGTAAAATTATTTGAATAATCTTAAAGTAGATGTACTACGGAAATGAAATGCTGCATTCCTTGTGTGCTAACTTAGTATCTTTTTCTCCTGTGACTTAAATGGTATCATTTGTTGAAAAAGTACTTGTTTGACTAATAGTAAAGCAGTAGTGAGGAATAATATGTGCATTCCGCTGAGGTCTCTTTAGGATCCTTCTCAGGTCTTGCTGGATGTTACCTCTTAAAGGACTGGTGACATAGATTTTGGCCGAACCTATCATTATGTGCTCATGTAGCAGCAGGGGGAGCTATCAGCATGCCAAAGCTACACATACAGTTCTGTTACAGCTCTAATGGAAAGTTTTTATAAGGGTGGTAATAGCTTTAATGTGCCTTATTCTTCTTGTGTTCTGTTGCTACTGTTGCTTCACACTGAGAATGTAAACCTGCAGCCTCAAAATCTCATTGCAGAAAGTGAGATTTATGCTTCTTTAGGAAGTATATTCCTCTCTCTCTCTGATGGCTTCTTCGCCATTTAGTAAGTTTTTAAACTAATAAATGGAGGAAATTTCAATATACAAGAGGACATCCAAGTCCTTTTGTAGTGATCTAGCACTTCAACCTTCTGGAAAAGCATCCCCCTCCTTGCCCAGCAAAGTTTGGTTTAAAGATGAAACAAAGTTATGGACAATAGCAGTAGAATAATGAGGGGAAACAAAGAATAAGGGAGATAGAAAGAATTTCAAAAGAGCTGGAGCTAAAAGAGAAGAAAGGGTAATAGTAAAAATGAATTGTGGCAAAGTTATTAAGGCCTTTGTTTTATCACTTTGTGGGTTTTCTGGGGTTTTGGGGGGGTGTTGTGTATTTCAAGATTGATTGCATGTGTTGTGTAAGATTAATCAAGAAATGTATACGGATTTGATTTCCATAAAAAGTAAATTTGGCCCTTGACCTTTATTCAGGTATTTTCTCTGTCATTCTGCCTTTATGAATACTGAGTAAAACAAGGATGTATTTTCTATTTAGGCTGAGCAATTTCTTTTGTAAAAGAAATAGTATTTTTTAAATGTCTGTAATTAGGATAAACTCTTGATTAAAAAAAAAAGTCTTATTCAGTTAAGACTTTTTTTAGAATGTAATTTGCATTAGTTCATTTCATTCTTTGTGTTGAGATGGTGTTGGCAGGGAAAGTACTGGACTGACTTGAATGAGGGCAGTAGACCCTCATGTATGGAAGACAGTGTCATGAAGAACACATTTGAACTGGATTAAGGGAAGGCTTTGAGAAGGAAGATAGAGTAAGAAGAGACATTTGTGGAAGCTGAGAGAAAACTCAGTTAGGGAACTTTGTGGATGTTTGTGTTAAAGCTTGAAGAAAAATTTAAGTTGTTTTGAAAGGAATAAAATTAACGAAGGCTAATTTCATATAGATTAGTGTCATTTTGTTCTCTAATTCTCACCTTTCCCAGTGCGAAAGACAACAATACCTCAGCTTGGAGTTGAGTCTGATGACTGGCCAGCTGTTTTCTGCCAAATAGAATGGATAATTTCTGCTTCCTCTCCCTTGGTGGGAAAACTAGTTTACATTTCTTTCTACATATCAATTTTATATAATCAAGCTTCTAGGGAACAAAAAAAAAATTAATTTGATACTTCTAAACATACTTTAAGTTATTTAATATGTTCTATGTGTTGAAAAGTCATTAGAGAAGACTAAGACACCAAAATTGTAAAAAGCTTGTTTCTTTAGGAAGCCAAGTTAAAAAACATAAATGCAAGGTCAAATAAAGAGATTTAATCAGAAAATAAAAAAAATCCGAAACAAATCTAACCCACTTTCTGTAGAAGGATATCACTAATGTAGTTTGCTAGTATTCATACTTTATTTTGACTTCATGTTTTTTAAAGTAAACACAAACTTAGTATGCTGTGACATGTAATTGGGATAAGCAGCTGTCATAAGAATAATGTTTGTAGTTCTTAACATTTTGAATTGTATCTTGAGAAACAGTACGGTTTTGTTTTGCATTATTAATTCTAGATTCATATTTGTGGCATATTACCTGTATGGGGTTTATTTAATGATTTTCACAGCCTCACCCTGAACCTTCCCATTCAGGTATTGGGTTTTATTGTGTGGCATTTTGTTGTATTGGGATCTAGAAGGCTGCCTGTATCTGTGTGTGGCTTTATTTAATTATTTATTGTTGATCTTCCTTTAATGTGGACTAGTGACCTTTTTGGGTCTCTTCTAACCTGGATAATTCTGTAATTCTATGATACCAGTCCCTTGGTAATACCCTGGTTAGGAAAAACTGAAAAGCCCAGTAGCTGAGGAGGCGCCAACAAAACATGGATGTCAAAATCCATGGGTTTCAGGGGGGCTGTACACAGATAAGAGTAAGTTTGCTGTGTGAACCTAACTACTTATGCTTTGGAAGTTATTTTCCTAAAAATGTAATAGCGATGCGAAGTGTGAAGTTCCTGTTGTATTTTACTTTCCAGTCAGCATTCACCCATGTGCTTAGGGGTTCTTGCAATGCTCTAAACATAACATGTTTTATTTATATAGAAATTTTTACATAGCAATATGTCTTCATGGTTGATGATGTTTTCTGTTCATTTATGTTTGTTAATATTCTTAACACATAACTTTATGGAAAGTGAAAGTGAACAGGTTAGGACAGGAGCTTTCTATTTTGAGGGAAATCAAAACACTTTCCGTATGTTCTGGGAAGATACTTTAATAGAAACACCCAAATGGCATGTGAAGTAAATCAAGATAAGTTAAAGTATGATTCCCAAATATTTGTGTTGGAAGGACTCTACACTTTTTACTTCATAGTGAACATTTCTTTTGTTACTTGGAAAATATATGTTCTAAAAATACTGTGCTGTGAGAATGTTTAGACTTCTGTAAACAGGGAGCATTCAACCTAATATGGGTGTACTGCAGTATTACATGATGTACCAGGAAAATTAAGCATCTTCACTTACATGACTTTCATTATTTAGGAATCAGTGGCTTTCTTCTTGAAAATTCTTCTTGAATAGGTAATAATATTGATGAGAAACAATGTTAATGTACTATAGTTAACTTTGAAAATATTCTTTTCTTCTAAAGTTCTGTTGCTGATTGAGAAAAGTAAGCCCCTGGAAACAGTTTAGAATGATAAAAATCAATCTTAGATTATGATCTGAGCATAAATAGAATTAAGCTCATTCACTCTGTCTTTCCTTACAAAAAAATTACTAATTACAAAAACCACTACAAAGATAGGAATATATAATGCACAGTTATATTTTTAAATGTTCTTTTTCACTGTCATACTCACCATATGCTTTATACTTTTTCAAAGACCTTTACAAATACTAGTTTTAAATACCTACTCAGATACAAATACTGAAGATAAAGCTATCTATTTCTTCTGTATTTCTTGATTTATTTATAATCACCAATTTTATGGGTTTTAATAATATTTAGAAACATTAAAATGTTAAAAATCCTAAAATTGTATTAAAATTCACATTTCAAATACTACCACAAAAATATATTAATAATTTATCAGTAATACTTCTCCGAACCTGATTAATTTCTCCTTTTATGAAGTTGTTTCTTTTTTCATCCAGGAAGAAGAAAGACGTATGGCATCTGTTGCAGCAAGGAAAGAGGAAGAAAGGAAGCGTGAAAGCCATAAACAGACCTTGCTTAAGGTATTTTCTATGGCTGTTCTAAGCCTACTGTAAACCAGTTTACAGCAATAATCTATATCCTAATATTTTTTGCTGTAGTTCTTGCATATCCCCATATACCTTTATCTCTTTAAACTTTTATAGCTTAAACAGTGCACTCCACAATTGAAACTCTCTTCAGTGAACTATGCAAGTTATACTGAATACATGAGTGTGATATATGTAAAAGGAGGGCAAACTTCATTTTCATGAGTCAGAGATAAAGTAAATCCAGAGTAAGGTAAAGGACTTTTCAGTGATTTAAAATTCTTTGAACTTGGTCTCCCCCATTTCAGGTGAGTGCTCTCACTGCTGCCATGCAGGGTGTTCTGAAGTAGTTTTTCCTTAATTCTTTCCTGTTGAAGTTGTTCCTTTTTGTGGAAAGAGTTGAGCAGTCATCAGTGCAGGAGCTGGACTCCAGCTGTCTTCTTTTTCAGAAGAACGTTTATCTACCAGACCACCTGGCCTGGTTAATGCTTATATACATGAGATGGAATAGCTCTAACAGGGGAGACTGAGGTGCACTCCAGAATACTCTTATGGAGCTGGTGAGTAAATGACCTATGTTGCTAATAGGAGACCAAAGTTCAAGGATCAAAGAGTGTCTGCATTCCATTTGTTGTGTGAATATTGCCATTTGTCTCCAAATCATTTTTCTTTGGAGAAAAAAGTGCCTAAAACTCTTTGTCATCTAGTAATGGTTATACAAAAAGCTCTTTCAATTTGGCAGTCAAACAAACAATCAAACAATTTTCATGTATCCATATTGTTAAGTTGCCTAGGTAAAATATTTCATGAAGGGGATTAGATTGAAAGTAGTTGCAGGAGGCTGTAAGAAGTGTAGCAAATGTATACAGCTCTGAAAAATAGACACAAACAGAATGTTAACAGTATATTAAAAGGTGTTCTAAGTATATAAGAAAAAACAAACCCAAGAACCTAAATATATGAAGGGGTGGGGGAAGAATTCCATGTCTAGTGCCTAAGAATATACTTTGATTTCCTGTATATTTGTATCCATGTATATTTTGATTTTCTGTTTAAAAACAACAACAACAATATATCGAAGTCTTAGATAGAGTTTTTGGGTTTGTTTTGTGGTTGTTGTTGTTTGTTTTGTGGTTTTTATATTTTTTTTTTATTAGTGTTGTAGTTTGGCTTCCCCCCGCCCCGTAACATACTGATGTGTTTAAAGTCTCTTCAGGTTTGAAGTTTTGGTGTCAGTTCTTAGTAACATAAAGAAATGGGAGTTAGTAAATAATATTCACATATGGTGTTATTTTATGCCGTTGAAAAGCTAACTGTGTCTTTGGACTGGAAAAAAAGTAGGTGTTTATTTGTAGTTCATGTTCTTAACTGTTGATGTGATGTTTCCTTGGAGCAGAGGGATTGCTTGTCTTGATGGCCAAGATTTCTCAGTGCATTTAGCTAATGGAAATTTCCCTTAGAAGGAAAAAATACATTTTTAATGTATAATGCCATTATTACTTAGACTTCAACATTAAATTTAATCAAGGTGTCTTTATTACCTTCAAGTAGCTGAGTGGCATGAGAGCCAATACCAATATCTTTTGCATGAATCAGTGATTTTGTATATCTTTCCTTTGTAAATATCTTCTGTGTTACGATTATGGTTTCTTTTTCCCTGTTCCACACATTTGAATTGAAAGGAACATATCTGCTCATAGATACAATGTCCAGTGAAAAAAGTTGCGAACTACTGGGTTTTCTTCATAGTTAAATCTGAAGAAAATATTTAGAGAATTATGTTTTGCAATTTTTGTTGCTGTCACTTTTCTCCAAAATTCCTTAAACTATACACAGTGTAAATGAAATTATAAGCACTCATTCAGTAGCAAACAGTTGCTGTTTTCCTGTATTCCTGCATCAAAGAAGTTAATTTCCACAATGACATCTCTTGTTTTTCCCTTGCTGATACTTGTCTACCCTAGCAGCAGAGTTTCTTCATCTCTCTTTTTCCAGACTATTTTTTTTATTGCTTAAAACTCACTCCTCTGAGAAAGTTTGAGAATAGAGGCTGAACTTACTATTTACTGGAACAAGAAGTAGTTATTGGTAGCAGAATCTTCATACTTCTAAAATTTGCTTTTTGTAAAATGAATTCTTGGAAGTTTCCAAAGCTCTATAGGAATCCAGCAGCCCACAGCTGAGGGCTAACAAAGCAGTAGAGCTGTACAGTTGTTGAGGTTATGAGGAGACCCTCACCCTGCAGAACAAACAGAATTTTGTAAATGTGATTGGAAGAAAATGCTGACTATTTCAACTTCCCCTACTTTCTGTGACATGGAGCCCAGTCATCACTGACGTCTGTAAAAGTTGGGCGCTTAGTGTTGTCTAACGAGATTAACACCATAACACTCTGGGCCAATTGAATGTGAAATAGAGTTTTGAGCTCTTTAAAATGGAAAAACTTTCAGAAGAGGAAAACTTTTAAAGTAGTTTCCATGTACTTTCAGTGTCCATTATAGACAATTATGGACATAATTTTTATCAACATTTAAAGCCTAGTAGATCTATCTTCATTATCAGTCAATGAGACAGATCATGGTGTTTACTCTAATAGCTGCAGCATGAGGGATTTGCTTGTAGGTATTAAATGTTTTACAGTGAAACATTTATATGCAGTTGTTCTTTATTCTTAAGGTAATACCTAGGTTCCACAAATTAGCAGTCACAGATGATGAAATGCTTGCTTTTTTTGTTGATCTACTATTTTATGTCGTTCAAAGAAATATTCATTTCTAGTGCTTTACACTTCACATCTCCAACACTGAGTACTGAGAGGAACATTTAGTGAACTATGTTGCAGTGATGTCTGTAACTCCCCCACGGTGAAAGGAATTATGTAAAAACATGATGGTAACAGTTATGTGTTACCTCTGTAGATTAAACCTAGGAGCATAGTGAGTATAGGTCAAACTTAGTGTATCAAGAGTGTTAATTGCAAATTGTAAAATTAGGTTTACCCTGGTCCCCTGCTTTTCTCCATAGGCATATGAAATAAACTAGCTTTTTTTTTCCCTTATTCGAAAAAAGGGGCTATAATAAAACTTGGTGTTTTGTGTTGATTTTTTTGTCGTCAGCCACAGAGTCTGTCTTAAAACAGAAATGTAAATGTTCAATTTCAAAACAAATAAAGCCTTTCTAGCTTTCAGGATTTTTGGTACAGCCTTCTAAATCCTAATCAATATTGTGTTGTTTTCTTGTAACTGAATCAGCCCAACAAAATTTTCTAAAGGATAGAGGAACTAATGTAATGATATTTAAAATTATGATATTAGACAGGCTTTTAACACTGGTAAGAAATTGATAAAGGTGGTTAGCTTATGCTCTAAGGAGATAATTGTTGACGGGGATTTACCTTGCCTGAGATCCTTTTGGACCCAATTTGAGGTGATTGCAACTTGAAACTAAGAAGTAATTGCTGTTTCAATTCAAAATTTCATAGCATTGAAGTAGAATATTCATTAGTACATCCAAAGAATATGCACCTTTTACCCTTCCCCTGTTTATGGGTAAAATTAGTGACAAATACACAGGCTGCCTGTGAACTGCTTTTTATACTATATGGGGCAAATTTGGGTTTGCTTTCCCCCCCTGTCCATTCCAAAATATCAGGATGTTTGTCTGTATTCAAATTCCAATAGTGATGTTCTGAAGTATATGAGAGAAATTAAAGGATTCTTAGAATATCATGGTTTCATTTCCTCCATGTTTTGTGGATGTAAATTTATTTAATGCAAAGCTCCTCTATAATACTTCTCAAATTTTAAGTCACTGTTTGAGTTTCATTGAGGGTAGCCTTGACAGTGAGATGGCTGACTTCCAGAGAATGAGATCTGGTTCAGAAAAACCAAATTAAGTGAAACTAACAACGAATTTACCCTTTGATATTATTTATGTTGTGCAGTTTTCATGTGATGAGAGTTCAGTTGCCAGGCCATGAGCTCTTACAAAGCACCTTGTTGTTTAACCTTTTAAAGTATGTTAAATTAGATGTATTAAACCATATATCTCTATATGATACAATAGAATAATAACCTCCATTTATAATTGTAGGTAACTGACACAATTTACATGACTATACAAGAACAAGTACTTAATAGACTTCTGAAATAGTGGTTCATTGACAAGACCTGTCTAGAATATAAAAACTACTTAAACTATTACAAAATATTTGAACTTAGATCTGTTGTAGTCCTTGTGTCTTATCACAAAGGTAATTTCATTTTCTGTTTTTATGAAATGGACTTTTTACATTTTTCAGAAGATAACTTTTTTCCCCCATGCAGAGTATGTTGCAATTACTACTAAGACTTAACAGCGATTGTCTAACTGTTTTAGCTTAAGTGCTAGGGTCACTCTAGCAGCATGGAGGAAAGTCCAAGCAGTCTACCCTGTTTTGTGGGAGAAGTATTACAAGCAGCTCCAGCCTGTCAAAATGAGACTTCTGTGGTTATCTAAACAAATAATTTAACTTTATTCTTTCACGAGTTGTGGACGTATTATGTTACTGTTCTTGTTTCTATTACTGCAAATTTTGTGAAATCATTCGTTTGCTGGCAGTTATGCAAAATAGCACTAGAGCGGTGCACTGATTTTAATGCACAACCACCAACCAGTACTATCACTTCTTCAATTTAAAACGTTTAAAATGTTTTGATTAAACAGCACATTTCTTTCAGAACAAACAAGTGTGTTGATATTGCACTGTCATAACTTATTATGACTTTTATATCTTGTTTCAGGAAAAGAAACGGTTAACGATTTGTAATATTGCTCGTCAGTGGGAGATACAGCAGAATCGAATAGCTCTTGTGGCTTCTTTAAACCAAGATAAAGATAACGAGCCCTGTCAGATCAATGGCAGTGCTGCATATGTATTTCCTGAAGAAAGCAGGTATTTTATTGGGAAATACTTCTTGTTCATGTCTTATATTCCAGGTTACTACTTCTCACTTCTGACAGCTCACCGTATTTCATTATCAAAAGTAATATATCCAAATTAATCCTGAAAAGATGTTTTACTTTGTGATTAAAACTGTTGGCCATTAGTAATAAGTAATATATATTAAATAAGTAATATAACAGCAACTCATTGACTGTGTAAGCTAAATTATTATGTGATTTTGCTAAATAAGGGAGGTCTTCATGTCTGTAAGAAATGTTAAATATGAATTCTTGAGCCTTCTTGAGGCTGTTCATTTCCTTGACAGCTTAGATTGTTGCCTTCAGTTGAAATGAATAAAATGAGGATGTATGAGCATTACAAATGTTTGTAACCTCTTTGTGTATCAAGACCTTTCATAAACTGAGTGTTGAATTCATGTTCTTAGTTTGAACAGTAGCATCTCTTATTGGACACCTTTCATACCCATGCTATTTTAACAATAGCAGTTCTTTGACTTAGGAAAAGTTATATTAGGAATAAAACAAAGATAATTTTTGCATTGTTGGTTTAAAATATAACTATATTATTTTTGTGGTGCACTTTGTGGCTTGCTTATTTACATCTAAAAGGTGGCCATCTGGCATTCTATATAATTTAAAAACCAAATGCAGAATTTAATGAGCAAGGTGTGCCTTAGATTGGCTAAAACCAGACTAGCACACTTTCAACCTGGCTACCTCAGGCAAAAGACTGAAAAAACAGGCTGCATGAATTCAGTAGCAAGTACAGCTTCTTGCTGTGCCTGATCAACACTGGAAATATCAGGTGCAGGCAAGAAGTCTTTGCCTCTCACAAACAGAACCCATTGGAGTTTCAGTCTAGTATTGGCTAGACCTGGTTTCTATATGCAGTAGAGTGCTGCATCTTTTGAAACATTTTTTTCGTAGTATTTTTAAATTGCTATAATCCTTTTTCTTCTTGTGCTTCCAAAGCTTTCCCCTGAACATATGTTTAGCCACTGCTTTCTTGCCTTTGTGGCTTCTTCACAATTTAATTCAGTGTTAGTAATCATTCCCTGTGACCAAGTCAATGTAACTATGGTAGCTTGAGCATCATCCTGTAAATGAACAGATTCTCATTGCTTGAGAAATCATGCTTTTAAATAACATTAAGACTTTTTCCACGGAGCTGTAGGAAAGATCTTGGTGTATTTCTAGCTCTGCTTATGCTGGATACAGTGACTAAAGTTGGTTTATTCCTTGTAGTTTCCTGACCACAAATGTTAGGATTTTTTTGTCAAATCTACAGTAGTAAAACATAATGCATAAAATCTGTTTCCATGTTCTTGTGAAAGTTTATGTAGTTTAAGATTTGTAGAATATGTTGTAGAAATCAAAGTGGTTAGTTTAATGAAATATCAAATTTCAACCTCCCCAAGGTGTTAACAAAATAAACCATGTGCTTTATTTGCATATATTATAGTTCTCTTATGCAAATTACAGTGCATTTAGTTTTCTGAACTGGAGACATAGAGTTGGAATTTTTCTTTTTTATGACTGGTTAGAGAAATGAAAGTGTGATAGTGATCTTTATCATGAATTTATATTGGTTTAAATGGATTAATGAAGATGTGGCCCTGTGCTTTCAAATTAAGAAGCTGTAGATAACACTGCCTTTTTTTTGCCTTGAAGCCTTATTGTTCTTTAATCCCCTCTAAGTTAAAATTGACATTGATCTACTACTGTGTTGTATAATGGTGAAGAATTTCAGAAGATACTTTCAAGATGAGTGACTAAGCAATAAAATGGCAGGTGAAATTCAGCATAATTAGTAAGTACAGCTTCACATATGAAGTGATGAACTCTCAACATTTCCAGCCAAGAGTGAAAGTTTAGAGTTGGTTGATTTTGTCAAGAAAAGATCAGTCAAGTGATCACTAGTAGTCAAAAAAGCAAAATAGATTAAAAATACTAGGAAGGTAGTAAAGAATAAAATAGTAACAATCTTTACACAACTTTCTAAACCTGTGATTTGTGCTCATCTTGAATTCTCTGTGCACTACAGGTCCAGTCAGCTGAGTGTATCATGTTGGAAGTTAAGATGCAGAGAATACCTGGATTTATTGCTTAATTTTAAAATCGCTCTTGTGACTTGGAAAGATCCCATTATTTTAAAGAAACACTTATTCATCCCTATTAGTTATGGCTTATTATCCTTGTTTAATCCTCAAGATTATTCTCATCTCTAAGCATAATAATGAATCCTGATATCCTGATCCGATAATGGGACATATAGGTTTGAGGAAGGAGTAGTACTCTTGTTCAAGAACAAAAATAACTGTTCAGTACTGTGAATAGCATTATCCTGGATTGGTTTTAGCAACTGTCTGTTCTTAAAGTGATGACTCATGTCATAACTTTTACATTTCATGTAGAAAACAGAATGTGAAGGTGACTTTGCTTTAATAATAGACTGTTTGAAATTGTTTTTACATATCTAAAGCAACATGAAATGTATTACCATTCTGAGTTAAAATTTTTAAGCAGATTATTAAATGAATGATTTCTTTATTTAATATTTTCCCTCTGCCCCTATCCAGCTCAAATACACCCAGAGCCTTTTTGCCAAAGAAGTAGAACATTTGCAATGTTACTTGATGGAAAGAGAATTTTCCAGCCCTTAATGTTTTTGAACCAGATTAATTACTGCAAATGAATGAATGCTGAGAAATGCAATCATATTTGACAGTTGGGTTTTGATAAATGAAAGGACTGTCATTCAATAGAATGATGTTACTACCTCAAAATAGTCTCATTTATATCACTGCATTTTTATTTCCTCCACAGGTCTCTTGATACAATATTGAGCAGTGCAGTACAAGGCTTGTCTGTTCTTGAGTCTCATTTAGTGGAAGTGGAAGGAGACACTCTTTGCTTGTATGGTGCTGGAGCGCTGGAGTGCCTGGATCGAAACTGGAGTGTTCAAACAGCTGGAATTATTGTCACAGTCTCCTTTATGTTCATAGAATTTGATGAAATTGTTCAAGCATTAACAAAACTGAAGATAAAATTTCCTAATTCTGTGGTAAGAATGCCTCAGATTTCAGCTATGTGAACAGCTATGGAAAATGTATTCTCTAATAGAACCTTAATTTGGTATAGTTACCCTTGAGTGCTTTCATATAAATGGATAGGTTTGTGAATTACATATTTGCTTGGTGTTACCCTATAATGCCAACTTTAACTTGAAACTTCCTAAAAATCAAGACTTAAATTTACATTCTCACACAGGATGGTGTTTTCTTTTCAGACTGGTTATTATTTCTCTTAATTCCTTTGACCTAGCTGATTACTTTTAAGTTGGAAAACTGATGTGTAAATACAGTATTGCTCTTCTGTAATACTGTTATGGATTCATGGTATCAGGGGACCTTCATTTGTGTTGTGAGTTCAAAGATCAAACAGCTGATAGGATAAAAAGAGGTAAAATTCAAAGGGAATAGCTAGCTAAATCAGTATAGCCTTTGGAATTCCTCAGTTCTTGATGAAGCAAAACAACATAAGTGAGATGTCCCTTTAGTACTACTTTTTTTTTTCTATTTTTTTTCTTGGACATTTAGATCAGTTGTTTGAAGCAAATAGTAAAATAGTGATAACATATATAAAGCAACTTGTTGCTCAGATGATATGCCTCTTGAGCTTCCTGATTCTTATTAATGTTTTGAGTATAACAGAAATTAATGGTTTAATTGAGTTCATGGGGAACTTAAGACAAATTTATCTATCTCAGTGAAGCAATTGTTCTGTTGTTGGGGGAGAAATTCTTGGGGGGGGGGGGCGCGTAGCAGAATCTCAGCTAAATTTTTATCTTCACCATCAATTTTTCCTCCTTCCCCTTCCTTCAGTAATGCTACCGTGTAGCCAAATACATTGTGCTCATAGGAGCACTAGTGTAGGGCATGGTTCAAAGAGTGAGCAGGATATGACTGAATGCCAGCCTGCCATGGGCAAAAAAAGCAGAATATTTAAAAACATATATTGTACTTATTTTTATGTGTGGATGTTGCAGTTGCTTTACTTGCAGAATTAAACATTGTTCAAGTAGTATCACTGCTTTTTGAAACATTGAAAATATTAGTGTTCACTCTTTATTGTTTCCTTATTGAATTTATTGTGGTTTGACTTTTTTTTAAGCACCTGAAGTTTAAGGAGACAAATCTCATGATGCTGCAGCAATTCAATGCATTAGCCCAGATGCATCGCATTGAACAGTTGACAGTTGATCCTCAGGGAAATCCGGTTGTCAACTTTTCTTTGTGGAAATACTATGTTCTGTTTAGACTGAATCATTTTAATCTACAGAAGATAAATGGAGTAAAGGTAGGATAGTGTTGCTTCCTTCCTACTGTTGGTCTTACAAGATAAATTAGCATTATTTTTAAAAAAAGCAGATGAACTGCTAATAAAGTGAGCAGAACCCTGTTAATGCCCTTTCAGTATTGGGGGCTGGGAATTTTAAGACAACTGCACCATGTATTTCTTGTGTTGTGCATTTGTTATGTCTACCTGTACTGTATTATAATTAACAATGGTGATAAGATTCTTAGTTGCCATAAAAATGTTGTTTTGTCTCAGATGTTTGCAATTGCAAATGACAGTCCATATCTATACCTGAGTGGTTGGGATTTACCTGAAGGGAATTTTTTTATTATTTCTGCATGTGTTTCTAAAAAAAAAAAAAAAGAAAGAAAAAAAACCAAAAAAGCCCACAAACAAACAACCCCCCCAAAAAACAAACAAACAAAAATTTTTAAACTGCACAATTTTATTTGATTTTTAAGAAGCACTTCATTATGTTCAAAATGATCACAGTGCCGACACTGAATATTTGTGCAAAAATGTGCATTTGACAGACTACTTAGTAGTTTACAGTATGTGATTATTTATTTTTTCCAGTGTTACACAATATAGCTAAAATCATATTTTCTTCTTTAAGCCTATCACAGGAAAAAGTCTGTCAAATAGATTCTTTTTTCTTCCTCCTGCTTGCTATGTACAAGATTATTAATGTGGTCTTTTTTGTTGGGTGTGTATTTTATGTTTAAATAAATAGCAATATTAGTGTCTTAACTTTCTGTTCTTTGTACTTTGTATTCCCCTTTACATCAGTTGAAAGTAGATTTATTCAAGCATATAAAATGTTTATTTTATACTTGGGCTTTGATCATAAAGGGAGTGAGAATAGTTATGATGCAACAGTCTTTTAATGTGTATTCAATTTAAATGCTGAATAAGTTTAAGTGGTGTTGTGGAAGTTAATTAGAGCTAAAATAATACATAGCTTTAGTGTGTAGATCTGGTATTTTAATTTGGTCATCATCATCATATGTTTTGGATTAGATACTTGTTATCTGATACAGCCATAGCATGAATGTTGTGGTTTACTTGGTTTTAGTTCTGTAAAACATGCATTAGTTGCATGGAAGAGCAGGAGTTGGGTTAAAGAGCTTACCTGAATTAACTATCAGGGAAAGGATGAGAAAAGATGAAGGCAAATATGACTCTCTCCAACAGCACAGTATCTTGAAAAGAAAAAAAAAAAAAGTGGTAGTAATCCCACAAGAATTTTAAAATAACCTTGAATTTACAAAAAATGCCCATCAAAGTTGATTTAAAAAAACCCACAACTATTTAAGCAGACTTTTTGCTACTATCTCAAAGTCATCAAATTCAGTCTTTGAAGAGAAACTTTGAATTTAATAGTGCTTGGGGATGGGTTTAGTAAATGGATTTACAGGTAGCACAGCATGCTTTTTATGTATGACATATATCAAATCTTAAATACATATGACTGAAGAACATTTTTGTCCTCAACAAACTTTTTCAGCCAGACCACACTATATGAAGATGTGCACACAGAAATTTTTTCCTAGTGTCATTAATCATTTGAAAAGTGTCACAGCCAAGCAGAAGAAAGAGATGAACTCTGATTGCTGTTTTTCATTAGTCTACAGCAGAAGTCATGGTATCCAGCTTTGCAGATGTATATTACCTTTTCTTTTAAAATCCATAAAAGAAAATCCTGTTTCAATGTGAAGAATACAAACCCCTGAAGTGTGGTCTCAGACCTTAGATCAGCCCTAAATAATAGTTTCAGACGATGGAAAGGGAAATGTGCATATTCTGCTATTCTGATTACCATTTGTGTGCGATGTTTGTGAAGACTACTCTGTTGCCAGCTCTAAGGTACATATAATTGGGGAGTAAAAGCAATATATACTAACTGAATTAACTAAATAAATTGCATAACTCTAACACTTTTAAACTTAAAAGCTTCATTATACTTTTTTTTTTTTTTTTTCTCCCCAGCCTCTCTCTTCCATTCCACTTGTGTTCCAGGCTAGAAGCTGAGTCTTAGTCTCCCCCTAACAATGATTTTGTTCCCTTGTCAAATGACTACATTTACTAACTGTGAAGAAGCAAATTCTTTTCATTGAGATACACTACTTGAAGTTTTTCCCAGTGATACTGATCTCAGATTAAGAGTTGTCAAGGTCTGAAGTTACTAAACTCTACAAAATGCTTTATACCAAGTGGTATGGCATACAGTGTAACAGATGCACCACATTTACTGAATTGGTGCCTGTTTTCTGTACTTGCCAAGTAGCAGGCATAATAGACTTAAACTTATGTGATGTTACAGTTATAATCTTTTTGTGATTAATGGAGCAAACAAGGTACTGGAGTAAGATAGAGAACACGAGTTTCTGTGAACTAGAGAGTGTATTCAGCATTGCTGGCTCTGTTGACCTGGTCCTTATGCTTCTCTTAACATAAATAAATAAATTAAAATCACTTATTTTTCCAGCAGACACTTCTGCCTGCATTGGTCTTTGTTTCCCTAGCTGCCTTCTGTGCTCTTTGTTTTAGACCTTGCTTCTGTTAACAGATTGTTCAGCGAGGTCATCTACTCTTAGGCTACTACATAAAACTTTTTTAAGTGAAAGTGAGCAAATCTAAACACTGAAAATGGAATTGACTTTACATTTCTAATTTCCTGATCTATGTTTTCGCTGGTGAATTTCTCCCAGCATTATGCTGTTGCAGTGTAATTTAGGCAAAGGTAGATTGTATAGTCTATAAACGTTAAACAAGAATATAGTAAAATTACATTAATTTGGATCAAAATTCCATTTTACTCGCACGTTTGAATAATACAGAACACAAAAATTGTCTGGAAATACTTAGTAACTACTGTGAGTATTGAAGTTTATTTAATAATGGATTGCTTTCCAAAAATATGTTGTAAGATGAACGGAAATTAAATTTGATCTAGAAGTTAAGTAGTCACTGAGTGAGTTTCATTGTCCTGTGTTATCCAGGTCAGATTTAGATGATCATAAAGATTTCTTCTGCACTCACTGGAAAGCCCGGAGTCTGGAAACCGTGCCAACAAACTTCTGGCAGTTGAAGTCAGTTCATAGTCTGGCCATCAGGGCAGGAGAAACACAGGCCATGGTCTCCAGAGGTTACGAGCCAAGACAAACAAAAAACAACAATCACCACCAAAAAATAAACCCCTTCCACCTTCTTTATACAAAATTGAAATGTGTAACATTAATTTTGAAAACTTTTCAATTATTGAAAATTAAAGAGATATCTGTAACTTAGTGTTGACAACAACCGTATGGATGATATTTAGAGAAGTATAATGGAGGAACACTTATTTTGGGGGGGTGGAAAATACAGAGAAAATAGTCTTTTTTTTTTTTCTTCCCCCTTTTTTTTCCTCTCTAAAGCCTCTGTTTCTATTAAGCCTTCTCTATGATGCTGCCAAGACAAGAGAGACCATAACTTCTCTTTTCACATGTGGGTGCCCAGAATCTTTTGATTTCTCCAGCATAACTTGATGAAAAAATTTTCCAGTAGACCTTCTGTAAGTGCATGCAGTATGGAGCAGAATTAACATGTCTGGCCTTCAGATACTCAATGTAAGAAATTATTATAAAATTCTTTTCATGAAGACTATCGTGAAGCACAGGGTAGCATGCGTATACATTAAAAGTTCCAGAGTTACAGGAAATAAAACAAGCACCAGTACCTCATTTGGTTTCTTTTAAAGTACGCTTAAGGTGCCAGTAAAAGCAAATCTATGTTTTGAAGATATGCCTGGAACAGATCTGTATGCAGTGTTCTGTATAACAAATTTCAGTTAATTCTCAATGTACATATATAATGAAATATCAATGTGCTAGTTTTGAAACTTAACTTTTCTTTTTTCTTTTTTCTTTTCATTTTCCCCCTTCCTTCACAGGTCACTGGAAACGATATTGTAATGGCAGAAAGGCTTTTTGGCATCCTGGCATATGTAGCATCTTCTGAGCTGCCACATTATCGCATGCTTTCATTAATTGGAGAATCTAGGTAAAATAGAATGAACGGAACTGGAATTTGTCCAGAATGTATTGTTTAATTCTGTTGCACACTGTCATGGTAAATTCTTTCTAGGTGAAAAGATAAAAATTTCACAAAAAACATCTTACAGAAGGTAAGTTCTCTGCTTATTGCAGAAATATTAGCATCTCCTGATTCATGTAGCCAGAGATTTTCACAGAAGTATGAAGTCTGCTGACTAAGATTTAAAGGCACATCCACACAAATGTACTGCTTGTTTAATTCTCCAATTGTACTGGTATTGGTGAAGATTTATGGACTCTCACAATGAAGACTGTCTATTTTTAGTGGGTATTTTATAGTTGGTGACTATAACAGTCAACAGATTTAAGAGTTGGTGCTATAAGAAAAAAGGTGCACAAAATATTTTTAGTCTTCTGTGATATGTAGTTAATAAGTTTAAGCTGCAGGACTTCCTATTTAGGAGATGCTATGTGATATGTGTCAAAAAGTCAGTTGTATAGAAGCAAATTAACAGAGGGTTGTATGTATTTTGAGTAACTTGAGGATGCAATAAACTTGAAAGTTCATATAGTATCTGTTCAAAGGGAGAAAAGAAAAGAAAATTCACAATCACTAGAAACATCTGCACTTTAAAAAAGTTTCCAATAATTAAAACTGTAAATCTCTATCATCTTTTCACAGGAGGAAGCAATTCCATTATCTGCTGGAGGGAAAGGGAAAGAAATCTGGGATTGGGAGTGAGGAAAGTAGTGATAACAGAAGTGGAGGGGAAAGCACAACTCGAGCAACATTGAATTACATGACAAAGGACTTTCATATGGAAAAGCTTGAGGTGCGTATATCAATAAGAAATACTTTCATCCTCTATTATATAACCTTAGGCTACTACTCGTGGAATTTGTCTATATATCAAGTTTCAGTTGTGCTATTGAGAATGGTGGTCTTAAAATATCACTGCTTACCATATATACACATATGATCAAACATTTCATCTGTCTGATCTTTGCCAGAATACTGGATAATTGTCAGTTTCTGTCTTTAGTGAAGTGGTTCCTGAACAGTGCCACAGTCTCAGAAATATATTCTCACCTACAAGCCTTATATTCATAACAAAAGGTACCTGCATTAGTAAAATATAAGAAGTGTGCACAGTTTTTTACAAAGAAAAATGTCTATTGCACCTTAGGATTTTCTAATGGAATTGGAAAGTCAGAAAGTATATCCCAAAATGAATTGGTGAAGAACACCTTCAGGCAAGATTTGAGATAGCACAGGCTGGAGTAATAAAGAGCTGTTTCGTAGCTTTTAAATGAGCTACAGGAAAATAAATATATAGGAAATGTATTAGGTTTAATTATTAATAAAATTGCAAGCTGGCTTGTTTCAGACAAGTGCATCAGTCACGCTTGTTTTAGTTTGCATTTCTGATCTGCGAACTCTTTTGCTTGGGCAGAGGAAAATTGTTCCCAGGGAGAACATGCTTCTTTCAGCCACAATCTCCTTTCTGAGCAGTATGCACCCTGCTTCCCACATTTGTCCCACTACTTGCTTTTTGAATTCGGTTATTGCATTGAGGTTTTGTTATCTCAGATCCATAGCATAAAAAAGAGACGGTGACTGCATGTGTGGAGAGATGAAATTAAAAAAACTTTTTCGTTTCAAAAACTGTGATAGTAGCTCTTAAAACTTTGAATGGCATAGAGTAAGACAGTGAAGTGTTCCTCTTGTCCTTTACCATGGAACAAGCACTTTAATAAAATAAGCTTGGCATTTGTACAGTCCACTAAATATATACATTGTTTTCTCTTCCCAGTGCAGAAATTTACACCTTGTCCTTTGTAACAGCATTATGTATGTGACAGCAGATATTACAGGATGTCACAAAAGAAGAGTAAGATAGGCAAAAAAGACTGATGCCAGTTGCCTATCAGCAGTAAACTAACGTTATAAATGTGATTGAATAAGTTTATCACTGAAGATGACAGTCTGAGTCACTGATTGATAATTTGGTTTTTTTAGATGAAACAACTGGAAAGTATTTTTTCTGCTTTATCACTCATTTAAGAAAACTTCTGTTTTGATGGCCTGAAGCATGACCTAACATTTTTAACAGTGCCATAAATCAAACTAGTTAGATATTTAGCACTAATATAACTTACTGTTCAAAGTTTATTATGGCATTTTATAGAAACAGGGATTAATATGGCTTGAGTGACTAAAATGTGGAGCTAGTAGTTGCACAAAGTGCAATATTTTTTATTATTTTTTAGAGGTTCAGGTTCCTTCAGTATCTAATGTAGTACATGTTAGGAACCATGCAGTTGTCAGAGTCCATCAGGTAACCTGTGGAAAGGCTGCATACTGGCATATTTTCCTGTGATAATATGCTTAGTTCTTGTTAGGGCAAGTAGATGAACATGTACTTTCCAACATGTACTTTCCAACTATTCTGCTATAATCATGAAAAGCTGGGAAGGGAGAGAAAGAAGGAAAGTAGTCTGGTGCCTAATAATTTCTGTAAATTTTCACTGCTATGCCAGAAGACAACAAAAATCATAATGCTGTTAAAAGATATCTACCTGACTATTTAAAAGTAGATTTCAGATAAATTAATTAATGAGTATAATATAAATATTATGAATACAGTAAGATTCTGTGGCCACACTCATAAAAGCTTGACTTATACCTTGGGCCATGCAACTTAAAACCAACAGGAGGAAGTGTGCAATGGCCTCTTTGCCTGCTAATCGCTATGTTCTTTAATTCATTAAATTTTTGTGGTTGTTTTTTGTTTGCTCTTATTTAACCTTTTCTTCCTTTGTCTTATACAATGTGTAATGGTTCTCCTATGCAGGAAATCAAGGAGAGAAAAACATTTTGCCAGACATATGTCGAGAACTTGGTGAAAGAAGCAGCTGACATCAATATGAAAAATGAGTCTTTGCAGAAGCTCTGGCCTCAAATGTTCATTGAGCTTGTCAGAGATGCAGTGATAGAAATACGCAATAAAAATTCCTACATGAAACTCTGCTTACAGCGTATCACTGATCAAAAACAGTAGAGTCAAGGCTTGTTGTCTTGTAAGATTTTGGTTTCAGTAGTCTATGATGTTTTACAGACTTGAAACAATAGGATATTTAAAATTACCATCACTATGGCATACTTCACTCGCCCCACTCCATGCACACACACCCCTCAAAGGAATGCCTTTAAATCTTAATTTACTCTTGATAGTTTTGAAATAAAGGTTTACTTGGATACTGCTTTAACAATGCTTCCTTGGCTAAAGTGATGACATAGAATAGAAGTAACTTGGTGATTGTCATGTTTTATTAAGTTCTTGTTTATTTTTTTCTGCTACCCTTGCTTCTGTAGTGCTACAGCATTGATTTTTAAGGAACAAATTTACACTCTGCTTGCCTTATTTTTTATTGAATGCTTTTTAATTGTCACGGTTTTGACTGTTTGCTGCTGTTTAAAAAAAAATCAAGAATAGTAGCTGATTTTTTAATGAGCAAAAGCGAATAAATTATTTTTACACCCTGAACTTGATGAAGACTTATTATTATTATTGTTCAACTTGTGAGGTTATAGAACACTTTTTCACACCCAATGCCATCACAGTGCTCAGTATATTAGCATTTAATGAGCCTAATTCTGAACTGAACAAATGGCCCAAACTTGGCTTCAAGTGGTTTTCATTAATTTAATTTGTATTAGTTTGTGTGAATTATTATAGGTAAAATATGAATTCGAGGTATATTCACTTAAGCTTTATTTTTGTTCTGTTAAAATATGTTAATAATACAATCTTTTTTGTTTCTTGATTACTGAATTACTAATTTTTGACGTTTGTCAAGGTCAAATGAGCTAAAATGCATGCAGTACATTTAGTAAGGAAACTGATGACTACTGTTCAGTTGTAATTAATTTCTGTGACTGTGAAAATTTCATATTTGTTATCAATAAAAATAAATTCTTCACTTTTGCCCTTCACAGATACTGTAAATAAGTACTGAGTGCAAAGAAAAAACTTCTGCCTAATGCCGCGTGAAGAGATGAGACACAACTTGCCCCCCAAAATCAACTGTGAATGGGTAGAAAAAAACCACATTCCATAGTACAATAAATTCCACTGTAAACACCTTACCAGCTTCTGCCCAGAAATTGAATTTAGGAACTGTTAGCGAGCCCAGGTGATTCCCAGGGCTAGTGTTTATATGCAGGAAGGTCGTGCGATTTAAACTTACTATTATAGTTCCATTTTATGTTAACTAAAAAAATCCAGAACCTTTGTGTATTCTTTTACTCAACTCAAACTGATCTTCTTTTACTTAAGCACATTTATAAAAAAGAAATGTTCATAACCAAAGAAAACTTCCTGCAAGGGTTTCTATGGCTCAAAAGTAAGTTTATTTTTAAACTTTACCTGTACAAGGCTCTCTGGCAAAGTAGAGATGCAAATACATGTTTTTAAATTTCTGTGCCCTGAAAATAGCCTTGAATGAGTAGCAGGAGTCAGGTGGTCATAGGCATTTTGGAATATACAGTCTACTTGCATTCAGGTCAAGCTGGTGCATCTAAATTGTCAGAATCCACTTTCAGAGCACAGGTTAACAACGGCATGTGTACTGTTAAATGTAATTTTCAATTCAGTTTTTGTTTTATGTAATCTTCTAAAGCATACTTGCAGGTAGTTGCTTTTCAGTCTTTACAGGATTTAATGGACGTTAAGTCACTTAAATTCTAAGGAAATGTTAAATGTCCTGAAGAAACTGCTGCAGCAGTCGGTGGAATTTAATAGAAACAATCACCCCTCCAGGATTTTTGAACTGCTTCATGGAATTTATAGTAAGATTAGTGTGTTTGATAGGATTTTTTTTTTCTTTCCATTGGAAAACTGTGCTGTCAAGTTTTATGGTTCATTTTATTGAGGGAACAAATTAAGACCCCACAAAATGTGAGAAAAGGAGAGTTTACCTTACAGAAATAATATAGAAATGATCATGCAAAAGTTTTTTTGATCCATCAGCTCCTTTCCATCATTTGTGGGGGGGAGTGGAGCAATTCCAGCTTCTGCATGGGGACAGAAACCTCAGCAGCTGTGTGAAAGCACAGAACTCTCCTGATGATGTAGCTGGAGCAGATGGGCCCCTTTTGAATCGGATTCAGCAACAATAAAAGATGGAAAAAAAATGTTTTAGGAGGGGTGGATTGGTCTAGAGGAACAGGAAGTTCTCCATGGGAAAATCCAGAGAAAGCCAGACTTTGTCACTAAGGCTTTAGAAGCATAATCCTGATTAGAGGCTTTAAGGTAGGGTCTTGAAAAAAGTAAGTGAAATGAATCAGAGGGTGTTGACTGTGAGTTGTAGAAACATCTCCCTAAAATGCTTTGTATTCCCAGTGGTCTGTGAATGCTGCTAGTTTGGACTTTTTTCACTAATAGCAGCTGTTTCATAACAGGATTGCTAAATGGCTGAAGCGAGGGTAGCTAGGCAGCTATTTTAAATGAAAAGATTGATGTTGAGCTGCATACATTTTTTTTCACATAGAACCAGTAGGAAGAAAAAAAACTTATATTTTTACTAATTCTCTTTAGGAAATACATGAATGATGGACTAAAGTGATGTTAGACCTAAGAGTATGTATAATTTTAAGCAGCCAGGTGATCTTAAAATTATTAGCATGCTATATGTTGTTTATGTGTTTAACAAAATTATTTGTCAAGTCATACAGACTTGTGGGATACATTACTGTAGCTGCTAAGGAGTTTGAGTAGCTAAAAATCTGAAGGTGGTATAAGCAGCAAATTCCTAGATGTTCTGAAACTTAAGTACTATATATAGAAATTTTCTGTGGTTACAGGTATAAATTAAGGAGTTAAGCTAGCCATTGATTTTGAAGCTGGGGACCTTTTACTAAAACCTTCTAGGCTGAAAGCAGTTATTTGTTTCTGCTTCAAAAGCCTTTAAATGCTGCATAAAACTTAATTTTGATATTGTTAATATTTCATTGATATCCCATCTAAAATGGACTCTTGTGGTCCCCTCACGTAGCCTGCCATTCTGCATAGGACAGGAGCTATTATTGTAAAAATCCCATATGTTAGCTGGAAATCATCTTAAGGATTAAAAAGATAATGTTTTGACTTTTAAGTCTTTTGAAAACTTTTTTCCTGTTGATTTTTGGATTATTTATGCAGTTTCCTTATTTTCTGAGAGAAATTTCCTCTATGTCCAGACAAGGGCAGATAATGATGTATCTTACTTTTTTTCAGTTTCAGTTTAGCCGTATCATGCATGAAGGCTCCATTATGTCATGCAGAGTCCATGTTTATTATGCAATTGAAATTTGATCTTCAGTAAGGAGACTGATGAAGAGCTATATTTCATACACTCCTTTTGACACAGGATCTGAAAAAGTAATAGAGCTGCAGACATGCTGTCACAGTGGAACAAAGGGAGAGGTCATTCACTTGATGCAAACCAAAAGCTGATCCTGTCAGTTTTGAGGAAAAAAGGTACTGGGAAGAGGTTTTAACAGAGCATTGCAAAGTAAGTAAAACTGCTCTACTGCCTGGAACCAAGTGTTAGATCTGAATCCGGAAATAGCTGAAAACTCTGTTTTCCGGTCTGTGTAGCTCAATGATAGAAAAGTGAAATATCTTGTTCTGCTGCTACAGATGGTCATACTTTTATCATGTAAACTATTTAAAATAATAATAATTTAAAAAAGGTTAACCTATTAAAACATTGGCCATCTGCGTATTAAGTTAGGCTATTGTGCAAACAGTAGTGAGTCCACTATCTATATGTACTGCAAATTCAGGACAAGCAACTACTTTTTTTTTTTTTTCAATCAGAGCAATAGGCTGTAAAAGTGACAAACACTGATGCTTTCAGTTGCTGCTTCTTATCATAGTGACACATCAGGATGAACTGCTTTTTGTTAACTAGTTTATTTAAAGAAGCCGAGGCAAATGCTTGCTATTTCATATTATTAAGCAACATTCCCAAAGACGTGATTTAGACTGGGAGGTCAGTATGCATATTCAAAATCACTATAACTGCTATTGGCTTTGATTGGGAAAACAGACTACTTGAATATGTTTCTGTTACCACATCGCACAAACTCTGCTACATCCTGAAGTCCAGTTTCAGTGAAATTCTTTTTCTCTTCAGTTTAAGTTGGAGGCATCAGTCTTTTGGGGATTTGTAAGGCTTGGTGTTTTGTTACACACGTGTAGAACAAGGAGAGTGAAAAGAGGAGACTAGCTATCTTTGTTCTATGCTGTGATAAAGCTGCTTTTACTCAAAAGTGATTATAAACTTTGATATTTGCATACTAAAAAATAGTGTAGACTACAAAGACTTTAAACAATCTTGTAAAAGACTAATTGGTATCTGCTTCCACACATCACCTCAGAGCTGGATTTTCTTGAGCATGAGCTAAAAGAAATTGAATCTAAGGGACTGTTTATACAACCCAAGTATCTAATTTTGTTGGCTAGCTTTGCTAGGCTTCTGCTCTCGGGGGAAGAAAGATAAGCTCATCTGGAGGAACTCTTGTCTCTGTTTACTGTGGTGAAAACAGCATTTCTTTACAAGCTGTGTATTGGACCTCATATGCCATACTTGTGTACAGATGGGGTGGACAGATGCTTCTGCTTATTGTATCAAATGTCAGGAAGCCTTGGTGAAGAATCAAGAAGTCTTAATAGGGGAAAAATTGAGTCTTCTCAAGCCCTGAGTTGCTTGGTTTTGGTGGTTGATTTTTTTAGTTATAGATAGATGTATTGCAAGCAGAAACATACTTGACTGATGGAAGTATACTGAGTGTAAAAAAAAAAAAAAAAAAAAAAAAAAAAGCCTGCAGGTTAGAATATTTATACCAAATCTAGCATTAGAAGTATCCAGCATCCCCAAGAACTGTGTTTGTACAGGGCAATGCTATATTCCTTACTACTGACTCCATGACTTGAGGACTTTATAAGTAATTGTTTTATCCAGCTTTTTGGAGAATACAAACTGGTGGCTTCATGATTGCTCTGGACTTTGGCCTGTTGGTACAGTATAAAATAATGTAATCAAGACAGCAGGATCAGATTTCTTGGTATTGTAATCTGTTGGTTAACAGGATAACAATGCTTAATCCTACCTTTTGTTGCAGTCTTCCTAATTAGGCAGCTACTTCCATATTAAGGAAAATCTTGTGTGCAATTTTCATTCTTTTTATATAGTGCATGGCATATAGTACAAAGCTACATCCATAACCAGGATGCTTCTAGTTTCAGACAAACTATTCTTTTCACTTTTGTTTGACT